CCAGCTTAGACTCGGGATAAACCGAAGGTTCGTTACAGTATCAGGTTGTACAAAATCGAAAGGTAAAACAACGATAGTAGCGACAAGTATTGCAACAGAAGACCTAGATCGGTTCTGGGAGTTAGAAAACGAAGAAGAAGAAGATGTCAAAGAGATAGAATTTTGTGAGAAAAATTTTCTGAATACAACAAGAATTGATTCAAGGGGTCGATATGTTGTAACAATTCCGTTCAAAGAAGAAAATGAATTAGGAGAATCAAAGCCACAAGCTATAGCTCGGTTTCTTAGCTTAGACAAAAAGCTGCAAAAAAAAAATGAAAAATTAAGAACAGACTACACAAATTTCATGAACGAATACTTGCAGTTAGGACATATGATATCTACAAAGAAAGAAGGAAAATATTATTTACCACATCAGGCAGTGTTAAGAGATAGTAGTCTGACAACGAAGCTAAGGGTAGTTTTTGACGCATCTGCAAAAACAACAAATAAGAATAGTCTAAATGACATTATGTGGACGGGACCAAGAGTTCAAAAAGAGCTATTTGACATTATATTAAAATGGCGACGCTGGGAATATGTAGTATCAGCATATATAGAAAAAATGTATAGGCAAATAAAAATAGCAAAACATGACCAGGAATTTCAATATATTGTCTGGAGAGATTCTCCAAGTAAAAAATTAAAGAACTTTAAGCTTACAACAGTCACTTATGGTACTGCATCAGCTCCTTACTTAGCCACTAGAGTTCTTTTAGACATAGCCAATAATTGCGATAATAACAATTAAAGAAATAATTAAAACAGTTTTTTATATGGACGATCTTATGACAGGCGCTGAATCCATACAGAACTGTAAAGAAATTGTTGAATGTGTTTCCAGTGAACTAGCAAAAGTTGGATTTAATCTGAGAAAGTGGATTTCAAATAAACCAGAAATAATTGAAGAAATAAACAGAAATGAGGAAAATAAGGTGTTAAGCATTGAAGAGAATGAGTCAATAAAAACATTAGGGCTACAGTGGGAACCCCTCAAAGATGAATTTAAATTTAGTTTCAAAGACAATAATATTAAAACAATAAATAATAGAGCAGTCTTATCAACACTTGCTAAAATATATGATCCCTTAGGGTGGTTATCTCCAGTGACCATAATAGGGAAACTGTTTATGCAAAAGCGATGGCTAACGGATAAAAAATAGGATGAAGAACTATCCAAAGAAGAAATCAAAGAATGGAAAGTGTATCAAGATAATTTGAAACATCTACAAAACCTAAGAATACCTAGGTGGGTCAAAATACAAAAAGATATTGAAGTACAGTTTCATGGTTTTGCTAATGCTTCTGAAAAAGCCTACGCAGCAGTAGTATATGCCAAAGTAGGTAATTCAGTAATGATATTAGCTAGTAAAAGTAAAGTTAATCCCAAGAAAAATCGTAAAACTATTCCCAAATTGGAACTATGCGCTGCCCATCTTTTGACAAAACTCATTTCTAAAACAAGTAAGAAAGCTCTAGTCGAGACTGCTCGACTACGAGATTCCCTGAACCCTTGGAGCAATAGATATTTCAATAATTTTTCGCGTCTTTCAGCTTACACAAGAAACACGCACACACACACGCACGTACGCACACACAGGCATACATACACACACACGCATACAGACACACATACACACACACACATACACACACACACATACACAAACACATACACACACATACACAAACATTTACATACATATCCAAACACAAGCATAAACACGCATAGGCGGCAGTGAGCGCTTACTATGAGAACTTAATTGCTTAATAACTTTTTTTATGGTCGTACGATCCTCGTGAAACTTTCAGATTATGATTATAACATAGATATGCATGTAATTGCCAAAGCACAGTACTAGTATTTGAAATACGCCTTTTACAAATGTGATGGTGAGGGGGTGAATATAGGGGTGGAGGCTAAATTTTAACAAAACCCGAAATTGCATAAATTGCATATAATCATACATTAAAAATTTGGAGACTCTAGCAATAAAGGTGTAGAAGATATAATTTTATAACTGGTTTTCGATAAGGTTTTTTATCGATAAAAAAAGATCGGGATGATTTATCAATTTTTAATGATAAACTTGATATCCGCGCTGTAATTACGAACATTTTTTAAAAAATTTGAAGTCTCTAGCTCTTATATCTTCGGAAATCGACGCGTTCAAATATACGGACAGACAGACAGACGGACAGGGCCAAATCAACTCAGCTCGTCGCCCTGATCAAGAATATATATACTTTGTGGGGTCTGCCACGCCTCCTTCTCCCTGTTACATACATTTCAACAAAACCATTATACCCTGATTTCCCATTGAAAATGGGTTCAGGGTATAAAAACGATACAAAAGAAACAAAAATATATAACAGTAGAAGAATTAAACAACGCTAGAATATTAATTATTAAACAACAACAATCATGTCAGTTTAGAACAGAAATAGGAAAGCCGTTGGGGAAAAAATATTTACAAAATAAGAGTAAAATAATTAGTTTGAATCCATTTTTATATGAAAAGAGAATACTTCGAGTAGGAGGAAGATTAGAGAAAGCTAGTATTGGATTTGACGTAAAGCATCCAATTATTCTTGACAAATGCCATTTAGTTAACTTAATAATTAAAGATGCGCACACTATCACTCTGCACGGAGGTATTAATGTAATGAGAAACTATATTCAAAGGAAATATTGGATAATTGGACCCACACAACAAATAATAACAAATCTCCCTATGAATAGAATTACAATGTCATACCCATTCCTGAATACGGGAATAGACTATGCAGGGCCTTATTATATGAAATGTTCTAAGTATCGTGGGCAAAAAATGTATAAAGGGTACATAGCATTATTTTTGTGCATGGCAACAAAAGCTATACACTTAGAAGCAGTTAGTGACTTAACGTCAGACGCATTTTTAGCTGCAATGAGAAGATTTATTGCAAGGAGATGAAAATGCTTAAACATATATTCTGATAACGGTACAAATTTTGTAGGAGCAGCTAAAAAACTAGAGAAAGAATTTAAGAAAACAATTCAAGAAAATACAAAAATTTCTTCAATGTTAGAAAAAGAACAAATAAAGTGGCATTTTATCCCGGCGGCAAGCCCTCACTTTGGAGGAATTTTGGAAGCGGGAGTAAAGTCAGTAAAATATCATTTAACAAGTAAGAAAGCTATAGTCGAGACTGCTCGACTACGAGCTCCCCTGAACCCTTGGAGCAATAGCTACAATTTCAATAATTTTTCGCGTCTTTCAGCTTACACAAGAAATACGCACACACACACACGCACGCACGCACACACAGGCATACATACACACACACATACACACACACGCATACACACACAAACGCATACACACACACACACATGCACACACACATACACAAACACATACACACACAAGCACCCACGCATAAACACGCATGGGCTGCAGTGTTGGCTTACTATGAGAACTTAATTGTTTAATAACTTTTTTTGTGGACATACGATCTTCATGAAACTTTCAGATTATGATAACAACATGGATATGCATGTATTTGCCAAAGCACAAGTCTCTAGTATTTGAAATACGCCTTTTACAAATGTGATGGTAAGGGGGTGGATATGGGGGTGGGGGGTAAATTTTAACAAAAACCGAAATTGCATAAATTGCATATTAGCATAAATAAAAAATAGCAATAAAGGTGTAGGAGATATAATTTTATAAGGTTTTTTATCGATAAAAAAAGATCGGGATGATTTATCAATTTTTAATGATAAACTTGATATCCGCGCTGTAATTACGAACATTTTTTAAAAAATTTGAAGTCTCTAGCTCTTATATCTTCGGAAATCGACGCGTTCAAATATACGGACAGACAGACAGACGGACAGGGCCAAATCAACTCAGCTCGTCGCCCTGATCAAGAATATATATACTTTGTGGGGTCTGCCACGCCTCCTTCTCCCTGTTACATACATTCACTGACCAAACAACACATAGACTAGACATGTAGAGCAACGTTTTTCCACGCCGCAAAATCTGTGTAGCAGGTCCCGGCCAACTTCGTATTCGCTCGGCTTGGTATTGGCTGGCTCGGGTAATGAAAGATAGCACGACGAAATCAGTGCGCTCTAAGCACGCAAACGAAATGGTCATGCATGCGCTTTGCGTTTTTTGTCTTACTCTCCCTCTCTCTCTCTCTCTCTGTGGGCTCTCAAATCATGAAGCTCAGCAGCGCACAAAAATTGAAATTTCTTCGCGACGGTCCCAGCTCTTTCCTTTTGAGTAAAGAGTATACCGAAAACTTAAAATCGTTTGCGACATTCATGCAAACAAAATGTTAGCGTTTCGATATATATTTATGGGAAGGGTATGAATGCGTTGAGGCGCATAAAGAATATGATCTCACGACGGGCATGCACACACACACTTGTAGTCCCTTCCCACATACATGTATGAGCATTTGTGACCTGCGTGCGTTACTCTTGCTGCTTGTAGCAATTTTAAAGCCCAGCATTTGCATTTGGTCGGTCTTGTACATGTATCATTTGATTGTGTGTGTGCTCACATGGGATGCGATGCTCACAATTATGGAATAGCACTTGTAGAAGAATTTGTATGCCTGTGGGCTTTTACATGTACGTGTGTGTATGTGCATAGTATGTGTATGCAGGGGACATGAACATTGGCGTGTGCCTACCTCAACTTAGAATTGGTTGACCAATTTAGGGTTCGCATTGCAGAATCGCGTTTCTATTGATACAAATTAAAAGGTACTTATTTTAATTTGTATCAATGATCGTGTGCTTGCCTACCGAAGTCATCAATTCATAAAAACAATTGTTTTAAATAGGAATTTGTTTAATATTATTTGATTAACTTAATAAATATAAAACATAAAATTCAATATATGTATATGTATTAACAATAAATAAACAATAAACAAATCAATAATAAAAACAAAGATAATTCAATAACATTGGAATAATATAATTTGTAAATTTATATGTACATATGTATGTTTGTCCGCTCAAGCCAGTCCATTTCACTTCATTGCACTTCTTCTTGAAGAGTACATATACCAGACTGTTGAAAGAGTTTACAAGACAATGTAAGATTTTAAGATTATTGTTATTATTTGTATGAAGGATATACGAATGTTCTGTGCTTAATGAATATGTGTTTACTTACATGTATACATATCTAATTACATATGTATGTACATATGTGCGAATCTCTAGTCATGCCTCCTGTGAAAAATTTAAGTACGTATGTATGTATATTATGTATGTGCATGCATACATATATATGTATGTATGTATGTTCATAATACGTGAAAATTGGCGAATGCCTGCCAAGGGCTTTTAATTGTGCGAGCGATTTCGAATTAAATCTGAAAAGGGGAATGCTAACCGACCTTTTATTATCACTTCCCTGTTTTCTACTGTTGAGAATTGTGCCAAAATTAATATAAAGTAAAATTCCCTATTGGTGTATTATTTTTAATTTCCTTTTGCTTATGCTGGTTTTACCAACAATTTTTTCAGTTTGCCATTTACAATTCTTCCTAATAAGAATTAAGACAAACTGATTAAGAATAAATTTCCTATGCTCAAAACAAGGGTGGGTGGAAGAAAACCATTCAGTATCTAAAGACGATTTTGCTGTAGCGTGCATGCAGTACAGAACAATTTTCTCTTTGATACGTGGCATATATGGTTTCTTTTCAAAAATGGTCTTAAACGTTTCGAAATGCAGTTTTATCATATTATAGAAAAGGTCAGAAGGGGCTTTCAACTTGAGATATTTATTTATATAATGATAATTTTTATTGAGTATTAAATACTCAGAAGAACACTGCATTTCATCTGATGACTTTAAAAGATTTGTACATACTTCACAATCTGTTCTTTGCAACAGCTTGTGTAGAAGATAGCCAGCAAAATATCGCAATGCATTTTCATTAAAAGCATTTTGTATATTAGCAATCGTGGCATCTAATGACAATTCTATTTCTAAATCAGCATCAGGTTCAATATCTGTAGCAGTATGACGTGAATTACATTGGTCATGAAATACAGATAGTTGAGACCCACTATCTTCTATGATATTGGCCAACATGAGATCTTCATCTGGAATGCAATTTCCAGACACAGATGCTGATGTTAATATTTTCATCGATAACATTCTTGATATTATAGAATTAAATTCAAAAATGGTGGGATTGGTATTTGTCGCTCCCCGACTTCTAATTAAATAAAATAAATTTTCTAATGGGTCTTGGTTCAATTTGGATGTGGCAATAAAGAAAAGATCATTGTTGTCACTCCAAATATTTTCTGCCAAAGCAATTACCGATGAGATTGTAATTATCATCCCATCAATGCAATACACTTTGTGTGGATAATGCAGATTTTTGAAATAATCACGCATTTCCAGAAGGTATTCGTGAATATTATTTTGCTCCCTAAGAGCACATCTATAAGGATTGCTATCAAATAGCACATGACTATTTAAGCAATCAAAAAGGTTATTAATTTTATCTATAAATATTGCCGTTGCAACTGCACTGTCTTTGCAATCGGCAAACCCACCTGTTTCGACAACAGTGCGTATCGCAGCAGCTACACTGTGGCTAAAGATTTGTGTTGCTAATTTCACTTTCATTTTTTCAAAGCAATTCGGACTGACATGCTTTAAGGTTAATTTCGGACATAAACGTGTTAAATTCTTGGTTTCAGTTTCATATAATTTTCTAATTATTCCCCATGAAACTGTACCTTCTGGTGTTGAAATATTCTTCTTTAAAAGAATATTTCGAAGGGATTTAACTAGATGCGGTGCATCAAATATGGCAAAAATTTTTTCACCATTAACCTCAAAGCTATGATTATTGAAATCAATACCCCATCTATTAAACACTGCTCTATTATTGGATCCCTGATCGCAAACAACGGCTTTGACATTGAGCCCTAATGCTTGCGACAGTCCAATATTTTCTTCAAATTTTTTTTTTAGGTCAGTATGATTTATGCCACGGGCTGAAACCGTATAGCTTAAAACATACTTCCAGTTCTCAAAAAGCCCCCTAACAAGGAAAACACAGACTTGCTGTCCTAAAAACCTACTTCGTTTTACACCATCGTTTTCAAATCCCTGTATCTCGTCAAGAGATGAATTGTACTGAAGCCCTCTTTTTACTTTGAGCTCATCGCAAACTAATACGGCATATTTTTCTTTGGCGCTCATTTTCTCAACAATGCCCTGCAAATTTTCTAATAAGTCTGGATTAAATCCAGGAACTAAATTTTTCAAAATCGCCCATCGATTTAAAGATTTCTTACATGGGAGTCTTAAATTAAGAACATCCCTAAGATAATCATATGTCCTAGCTGAATAAAAATTAATATTTTGGGCAATTGCCCTTTCAGCACTATTATAGACATGATTATTTTTCAAAAGCATTCTACATAATACTTTTGAATTTTCAGAAACATGAGGTAAATTGTTAATTGTCGTGAAGACATTAACATGCTTTTTTACCTTTCTAATTCTATAATAAATGTTTCTGTGTCTAGAGGCATTTTTTAAAGCTAAATATTTCTTTTTTAATTTAAGGAATTCTTGCTGAGATTTTTTGAGGTCTACTCCCATATCATAGTATTTGTTCCTATAATATAGCTCATTTTGCTCTCTTTTCAAACAATTTGAGCAAAAAGAAGACCTTGAATTGCCCAAATTTAAAGTTGGAACTGCATTAACTCTTAAAAAACGTTTACCAATATATTTCCGTTCAAAATGCCTGTTACATATTCTAGACCTCTTTGGGTCGAAATTATTTGTTAAATTACATGCTTTAATCCACTTAGTTAACTGAAATTCTTTAGACGGAAACGCAAATAATCTAACCGGAAAATGCAAGGAACTTTGCCTATAACTCGCACCACACGTTTCAATTATGCATTTCCCGCCATTTCTTCGTGAACATTTTTTGACACCATCAGTTGATTTTTTTAAAACACTTGTCTCAGCCATAGTTTTAAAAAAAACTTATTAATTTTGGCACGATTCTTAACAATAAAAAGCACACAAAGTAATAAAAAAGGTCGTTTAACACTCCCTTCTGCAGATTTAATTCGAAATCGCTCGCACAATTAAAAGCCCGTGGCAAGCACAAGCCAATGTTCACGTATTATGAACACACATACTTACAATATTCCACAGGCAGCAAGAATAGTTTCCCATACTAACACATAAGGGCTCATACATGCATGTAAAACGGGACAGTAACTGATGATTGACGAAAATACTGAGAAAGAATTGAGTTTCGCGACGCACGCACACAAAAGCACATACACGTAGCAAGGATGTAAATGTGTGTGTGCATGCTCGTCGCTAAAATGTATTCTTTCTGTGCAGAACAGCCTGTGCAAATTGTAAAGCCCAAAATTTGCCGTTGGTCTGCCTTGTGAAGTGAGCACATGCATACATAAATTTGTGTATGTGTATGCTTGTATGGGATGGCAAGCTAATTGTCTCTGGATTTAGTAGTTTGTAAATTTTGTATTATTTGAATCGTAGGGTGACTATCAAATGGGCTATTATGACTTAATTAGAAAATTTTTGACAATAATGAGTAAAGCTTGAGTGTAATATGACATATATATTTCATATATTGCAAAGCATTTAATAAAGTTAGTAGTGTTTTACGATAATTTTTTCGGTTAAAAATGTGTATAAAATAATTTTAATTATATATAATTATTTACGGATATAAACACATTTATAAACATGATTAGCAATAATAATATATAAATGTACTTATGTACATATGTATGTATGTTCATACATAGTACATCTGTTTAAAGTGGTTATGACCGTCCGTAAGACCGACCAAATGCAAATGCTGGGCTTTAAAATTGCTACAAGCAGCAAGAGTAACGCACGCAGGTCACAAATGCTCATACATGTATGTGGCAAGGGACTACAAGTGTGTGTGTGCATGCCCGTCGTGAGATCATATTCTTTATGCGCCTCAACGCATTCATACCCTTCCCATAAATATATATCGAAACGCTAACATTTTGTTTGCATGAATGTCGCAAACGATTTTAAGTTTTCGGTATACTCTTTACTCAAAAGGAAAGAGCTGGGACCGTCGCGAAGAAATTTCAATTTTTGTGCGCTGCTGAGCTTCATGATTTGAGAGCCCACAGAGAGAGAGAGAGAGGGAGAGTAAGACAAAAAACGCAAAGCGCATGCATGACCATTTCGTTTGCGTGCTTAGAGCGCACTGATTTCGTCGTGCTATCTTTCATTACCCGAGCCAGCCAATACCAAGCCGAGCGAATACGAAGTTGGCCGGGACCTGCTACACAGATTTTGCGGCGTGGAAAAACGTTGCTCTACATGTCTAGTCTATGTGTTGTTTGGTCAGTGATACATTTCAACAAAACCATTATACCCTGATTTCCCATTGAAAATGGGTTCAGGGTATAAAAACGATACAAAAGAAACAAAAATATATAACAGTAGAAGAATTAAACAACGCTAGAATATTAATTATTAAACAACAACAATCATGTCAGTTTAGAACAGAAATAGGAAAGCCGTTGGGGAAAAAATATTTACAAAATAAGAGTAAAATAATTAGTTTGAATCCATTTTTATATGAAAAGAGAATACTTCGAGTAGGAGGAAGATTAGAGAAAGCTAGTATTGGATTTGACGTAAAGCATCCAATTATTCTTGACAAATGCCATTTAGTTAACTTAATAATTAAAGATGCGCACACTATCACTCTGCACGGAGGTATTAATGTAATGAGAAACTATATTCAAAGGAAATATTGGATAATTGGACCCACACAACAAATAATAACAAATCTCCCTATGAATAGAATTACAATGTCATACCCATTCCTGAATACGGGAATAGACTATGCAGGGCCTTATTATATGAAATGTTCTAAGTATCGTGGGCAAAAAATGTATAAAGGGTACATAGCATTATTTTTGTGCATGGCAACAAAAGCTATACACTTAGAAGCAGTTAGTGACTTAACGTCAGACGCATTTTTAGCTGCAATGAGAAGATTTATTGCAAGGAGATGAAAATGCTTAAACATATATTCTGATAACGGTACAAATTTTGTAGGAGCAGCTAAAAAACTAGGGAAAGAATTTAAGAAAACAATTCAAGAAAATACAAAAATTTCTTCAATGTTAGAAAAAGAACAAATAAAGTGGCATTTTATCCCGGCGGCAAGCCCTCACTTTGGAGGAATTTTGGAAGCGGGAGTAAAGTCAGTAAAATATCATTTAACAAGTAAGAAAGCTATAGTCGAGACTGCTCGACTACGAGCTCCCCTGAACCCTTGGAGCAATAGCTACAATTTCAATAATTTTTCGCGTCTTTCAGCTTACACA